CCGTACCCCCGCTCCCGGGAGGTGACCCCCAGGGTGCAGCAGGCCTCTCCTGTCTCCCCACTGCTCCCCTCAGCAGTGTTCTTTGTCCGTCTGCCTGTTCTGCACCCCACTCTGTCTCTGGTGAGTCCTCTCACGGCCCCTGCACCTCTACCCTGAACCCCAGTTCTGTATGCACAAATAAATCTTTAAAAAAAAAGAAATTTGAGGTAATGACGTCATGCTTTGTGCATGTGCGTCTGGAAGGCAAGGCCTGTCCCGGCTTCAGGCTGTGCGGTGGCGCCTGCGGGTCTGCGCCCAGAGTGGGGGAGAAGCCTGACTGTCCGCATCCTCCATCCTCCCCCCGGGTTGGTCTCTGCCCGGGACACTTGGGCAATCTGGTCTGACCGCTCCCCGAGGTCAAGGGAGGAACTGCAACTTTCAAGACCCGCCCGGTCCCCAAAGTATCCGAGGCAGGTTTGTGTGCAAAGCGCTGCCTCCGTAGAAGCCTCTCGCGGGGTACACGGGTGCCCACACGCCGACGACACGACCTGTACAGCCCAACTCTCTACAGTCCGGATTTTTCCTTCAAAAATGACAGACCTGGTGCTTTGGGGGGGTGCGGGAGGAGATGAAGCGGACCCAGGTCCCCCCAAATGACACCCTAGATGCTGTGATTCAGGGATCTGTGTGCAGGCGGCCTCCCTCGGGCGCCCTCTGCTGGCCGGTCCGCGAAGGGCGCCCTCCCGATGCGTGGACCCGCTGCCCTTGAACTCCGCGGGGGGCTGGGGAACCTATTCATGGCATTGGGTGGGGTGAACTGTGGAATGTTGGAACCACTTGTTCTCTCATACTCCTGACCGGAGGGTCTCTTGTGTTTATGGCCGGGACTGGCGGCGAGTAACGGCTTTATTAACTGGACAGTCCGCTGTCCTGGCTCCGGGCAGAGAATTTAGGAACTGGGTAGAGACATCGGAGACATCAGCACCAGCCTGCGACCCCACGGACACCTGGCCCTGCCCCGGCGCCCTGTGCTGGCGTCGGGGTCTCCTTAGCTGTGCCTGGGCCTGCCCCGAGGGCCAGCAGTTCCCCATCCTACCGGTGCGCCCAGAGCTGTCCGCTTTCTCACGTGTTTCCTGAGCAGTTAGTAAAGATAGCAGCTTTTTGGTGTAAAGCAGGGGTTGGCAAACCTCCTTTGTGAGAAGCCAAGTAGTAAATGGTTTTGGCTTTTTTTCTGGGCCAAGCTGCTGGCTTCTTTCCGTCGCAGTATATAAACAAAGAAGGGGGTGTGGTTGTGGTCCCATAAGATTTTATTTGCCAAAGAAAAGACAGAGCAGCTGGCTGGAGTCGGCTCCCGGGCTGCTGTTAGCCCAGCCCTGTACAGAA